AGAGTTTTAGACAACATTTGATTAAATTTTAAATTTTTTAAAATTTTGTTTTGTAATTTCAAATATTTTGAAGCTCTAAATTAGACTCGCTGTACTGAATTTTTACACTTGCATTACTTACATTTTTTGCAACATTGCAATTATCAGATTTTGTAGGGTAAAATTTTGCTATATGCGTTGCACTCTATAGATTTAATAAAGTTTGAATCTCAAACTTTTAAACACAAGATTCTGATTTTTTGGGTCCATATTTTTTTTTTTGAGCCTCTTGATTCTGAAATAGTTTTATTAATTTAATAATAAAAAAGATTCATTTTTTTTTGTTTAATGATTTTTTTTTATTTTACAAAAATATTTTGCTTTATTCTTATTTTATTTTATATTTTTTTTTTGTTTTTTTTAAATTATTTTCATATTTTTTTTTGTATTTTTTTTTTTTGTTTTTGCTTTTTGATTTTTAATATTTCGTGTTTTTTTATACAAATAAATTGTATAAAATATTTTTTTTTTAATTATTAATATACATAAAATATAATAAAAAAAAATTAAAGAAATTTATAAAAATAATTATCATAGCACGTGTTTTCTTATTTAAAAAAAAAAACTATTTATATATATAAATAATTAAATGATTGTTTATTCAAAAAAAAAAAGAATATTTCTTTAATAGTATAGAAAAGATACGATTATATTAAAATAATTATGGAATTATATAATTCATATTTTAATATAAGTAAATAAAAATAAAAATGTTAAAATTAAATAAAAATAATTTAACATTTTTATTTGTTACAAAGCAGTAAATATTTTACAGAAATTACAAAAGATTAAAATTATTGATGAACATGATTTTAAGGACAAAATAATGATATTTATGTATAAATGTTTATAAAATAGTGTATAAAAAAAATATAAATATCACATATTATAAAATATTAACAAATTCTATATAAAGTTGTTAGAATCTCTGTCATATCTGACAGAATAATACATATAAGTCAATGTCAAATGTATATGAAATATAAAGTGCAATAATTCTAAAACATATTACAATAAACAAAATATAATCTTATTATATTTATTGTGACAAATATACAAAAAATTTAATTCAAGCTACAAAATTATATTATACAATTTTTTTTTTCAAAGAATAATTCAAAATTCATAATTCTTTTATTAAACTGTTATAATAGATTCTTAAATCGAACATTAAATTAAATTTATAATAGTTTAAATTGTCTACAAATTTTTAAAAAATTACATAAAAATTAAATGTTTGCAAAACATAAAATTCAATAATATCATTAAAAATAATGTTATACAATACATATAAGTATATTAATTAAATATGTAATTTTAAATTTTTTTTTTTTAGATAATAATTAATCATATATAAATTCAATTTACTTACAGATTTAATGAAAATATTATGACATTTTTAATTTATTTTTAAAATTAAATTGACAGTGAAAAAAAAAAGTGTAAAGAAAAGCAAATAAAGTTTAAGTAAAGTATCACTGACTTCAATTGTGTAGATATATGCGTTACGAGTATTACTACAACACTACTACTATACGTTTGCAACTATTGACATTGCGTATAAAATTCGTCAAGTGTGAACACAAAAACAAAATGACCAATTAAAATTCTATTTTGTGCAGATTTTTTTTTTAAATTTTTGTAGATTTATGTTTTCCTGTCATCAGCTGTGGTAATGTAAAAATTAAGCATTTTTATACTGTCACATAAGCTGTGGCAATGTAAAAATTAAGCATTTTTATACTGTAACATAAGCTGTGATAGAGCAAAAATTAAGCATACATATAAATTTTATTATGCTTAAAATACTCATTATCTGCACATTTTACAGATACTGGACTTTGTAAATTGTCTTGCGTAAAAATGTTGAACTCTTGACTTTATAGTATTGGGATATATTTGCACAATTGAAGTCAGGGTATATTTGTTTTAAAACAAGGAAATTGAACACGAAATGTTATAAAATTCCCTAATTATAATTTTGTATTGACATTTTTTTTTTATAAAAAGATAAAACAAATGAAAATTTATGACACATTTTGTGTTTTTCTATTGTGGTTGCATGTACAAAAGAAATCACACACAACTTATACTATAATGAATGATAAAAATTTGTTTAAGTATTTAATTATTTACAAAATAGCATTTGCAATTATGATGAAGTACATTTTAATAATATTATGTGCATTTTAAAATAGTTAGCGGTGTTTATTATCATTATACGTAATAATATTGTTTTTGCTTCTGTATATCGCATTTTACTGCGGTAACTTTCTTTTCTTTCCTATTTAATTTTCTCGTTGCAACTCTATGGTATTTATGGAATTTATTTTTAATATTACATACTCTATAAATATTACTTTATTTGTATATACTTATAGCTTCATGTTTTTATTTATTTTAGTTTTAATTATAAAAACAAGATACCTATGTATGTATATATGTAGATATGTGAATCTTATATTGGGATGGATGAAACATAATATGAAAGAAAACGCACGTGTTCTGAACATAATTATTATTATAAAATAAATTATATATTATCTTATATATAATTATATACAAAGTAGCATATTATCAGTAATTATTATTTTCTTATTTATTTTAGATATTTTGCTAAACTGGTGTTTTTTATTATATATGGTTGCTCGATGGCCTGCTCACCTATATATTTTATATGTTTTTTTTAGATTAAGTGGCAAGAAAAACAAAAAAACAGATAATAAGAAGTAGAAGAAATGGAAGAAGAAGAAGAAAAAGAAGATATCGATTAAATGAAATGGATAGTGCGATGTAAGAGACACAATCATAATATGAAAATGAAAAGAAAAAAATAAGGTTATGTTACGTTTTGTGCATAACTTACGAGTATTATTACACAATTTCGTAATTTTCCAACAATAATCATACCGCTTAACATTATTTTGTAGAGTACTGCTACTTATATATATTTTTTCCGCATATTTTCGCAAACAAAAAACAAAAAAATTCTCATCTACAAATCTGTTTTGAAATTTTTTTTTTTTTGGAAATTGATTGCGGAAAAATTAAAATAGATGTCATAATGATTATTGTAAATTTGCATTGTTATTTTAGCCGATGAGTTTTTAAATCAATATTGAAATTTATGTACATTTTGTTCGATTGTTCATCAATAGTAGCAGCAGCTTGGCACGTGTTTCCAAGTTAGCGGAAGTTAAGTAAATCATATTATTTTCATAATTATTTTCTTATACAATGTTTTTGTTTTATTTTCAACATTTTGATTACATAGATAAATGTACTATAGATATTTTAAGTATTTTATTTGTTTTTGCTATCTTTGGCACGTTCTTTGTTTGGTTTTAATTTTTCTTTTTTTATGTAATATATCTATTTTTGATTTTTAAATGTATATATTCTTGTTTTTACTATCTGTTTTAAATTGTGACCAATATAATAACACGAAATTATAGATGAACAACACACTATTTCTTTCTATTTGTTTCTTTTTCTGATTATTTTTATAAAATTGAATAAAATATTTGAAGCTACTTAGTATATTACTTTAGGATTTCTGTCCTTTGAAAATAAAGTATAATTAAAAAAATTGAAAACAGATCATGGAGTATTTAGTTAGAAAAGTCGTAACAATAATAAAAAATTTCTATAGGATGACAAACGATGACAATGACATTGACATATTGAATGTTCTTTAATTTGTTAATATTCTATACATACATACATAAATTATACATAATACACATTATAACAGTTAAAAGAAAAATATAAAATTATTTATTGAAATTTTGACCATAATTATTTTTTAATAATTAATTGTCAAAATATTTATTGCACATTAGGTAGTTAATATGTATATACATATGTATATATATAAAGAGAAAATTTATAAAAGAATAATATTATATTTTAAAACAAATTATTAAAAAAAAATAATAATATTCTGATTATAAAATGGTGGGTATATACGCGCATATATATTATTTATACAACAATATAATTATATTAATAAACTTTCATTAATATTAATAAAAATATTTAATTAAAATTAATAAAAATCAATTAATAATACTATATATATTATTATACATTGGTTTCTTTTATAATTTTAGATTCTTTATAAGAAGAAATTTATGAAATTTGAAAATATTCTTGATATATTAATGGAAGATATGGAAAGCAATAAGATATTAATGGAAGAAAATTGAAATGAATATTTGAAAGAAATATTTTTTTTTTATATATAAAATCTATGAGATTAAATTCTAATAACTAAAGTTATATAAAATGGAAAAAAAATTCTTAAAAACTAAAATGATTTTTTAAAAGACATGAGAGAAATGCATTTTATATGTCATTATTAAAGCATATATATTAAATATATTTATTTTATATTTATGAAAAAAAAAAAAAATTTAGTAAACGCATACGTGAAAAAATAAATTTTATAGAATAACTAGTGATGAATTATTTAAAGCGATAACACATTTGTATAGTATATATAGATATATATATATATATATAAAGTTATATAAAGAATTCCCGAATTATTAATATATATAGGAGATTTAAAATGTAAAATAAGCAAAATTGAAGAGAAAGCATAGAAAAAAATAAAATAACTATTAAAATATTAAATATATTTTATATTTTATATTGTAGGATCTACTCCTCCCTACTATTTTCTTTGCTTTTTATTTTAATCTTTAATCATTATAGAAAAGCGAATTGTTATTTTATTTTCGTATTTTGTTAATTAATATTATAAAAATTTGAGTATTTTTTTTTTATATTGAAAATCATTGAAAAAATTTATTTGATCAAAAAAATATATTTAAAAAAACAAAATCTATACAATTAAAATTTTGATCAAATATTTTCTTCTCTTTTCCTTCATAATATTTTTCATTTATTTATGTTTTCTTATATAATATTAAATATTTATTTATTTGTATGTTTGAAAATGGTTTCTTTTTTTTTATACATTTTTATATATATATTTATATATGTTTATATTGTGACGATCTTTTATTAATTTTTTATTAATTAAAAAAATTATATATATATATCATTTATTATTGTGCTTACGGATGTAATGGATAATGTCCTAAAACTGGTGCTGGCGCATAATGTGCAACTGGTGCTACAACTTTTGCTGGTCCAGATTTATGTACAACAGCATTAAAACCATTATGATCATCAGCTGTATAATCTACTGTACGTACAGAACCATCTGGTTCAACTAATGAATATTGTCCTTTAACAACATCACCATCACGTTCTTCTGCTTGTGATTTAATATCACCGGTATGTGGATCTTTTATACCATAATTGAATGAATATTTTGGATATGACTATATAAATATATAAAGTAAATACAAAAAAAAAATTAATAATGTCTAATATAATACATTGTATTTATATATATAATTAAATTATAAGTTCATTTTAATCACACAGTTATATTTTAGGGATAAAATTTTATATACTTACAACTGGTTCAGCAGCAATAACTTTATGAACTGGTGCATGTACTAAAGCTGGAGCATGATGTAATACTGGAGCAGCATGTACAACTGGTCCATAATGACCATATTCAATTGGTGAAGCATTAGCGAAAGCAACAAATGCAACAATAACAATTAAGTACTGTAAATAATTAAAGGAAATTATAATTAAATAATTAATTTTTAATTAGTTATTTAATAATTATTAAATTATCAGTATAATTATTATATGCAAATAATATTAATTTAAAATTTAACATTAGCATAAAACGAAAGTATAAATTCATTCATATTACTTTTCTTTTTGTAATACTTAATTGCTAGTTAAGAGAAAAAATTTCATTGTTAAACTATAATGAACTCTCTACATAGTAAAAATTATACAGCCGAGCGCATTATTCTATATTCATAGTTATTTGTATATCTCTTGTTTTAATTTCATTCATAAAAAAAACTGAGTTGAAAAAGCTTTTTAATATTTTCATTCATAAATTAAGAACATTTACAATTCTGTTAAAATATTACAAACAAATTTATAAGTAATGAAATAATTGAGTAATTTCAATAGCCCACAGAGTTACTAATACTGCACAATAGAATTGCTGTATGAACTGTTAATAGAACTTCACTTATTTGTGCTCTAGTAGCTTAATTTGATTAATTTGGGCAGTCATAGTGACTTAATCTGATTCATTAGGGGGGAATTCGAATAACTACTATATAAATTGTAAATCTGAACTCAATTAAAAAATTAAATGTTAAATTTCATTTAAAATATTTTCTTTTTCATGTTCAATAAAGTTTTCTATAATCAATTTCAAAATTTCAATAAAATATTGAAATTTTGAAATTGATTATAGAGTAGCACAAATTTCAGTATATAGTGAAACAAAATTAATAGAGTTCGAATATTTAAATTCAAATTGAAATTTATTTTATTAAAGACATTCAATTATTTACTTATATTAAAGAAATAATAAAATTTTGAAAAAAATTCACATTGCAGATTATATTTATATTATTTTATATATTAATTAACATTCTATTAATTAAAATTAAAAATGAAAAAATATTATGAATAATTAAAATGGAATTATTTAATTCATTTAATTTATGGATAATTTATTCGAAATTTTTATATGGATAAAACAAAAGTACCATTCAAAAGAAACGTAAACACACAAGATAAAAAACAAATAAGATGGTTTATTTTTGAAAAATGAGCCAAGTCCATTTCAATTAAAAATGAAATTTTTATTTGTTTGAATTTAAGGGAATCAGTAAGAACCATGGTTGTTTTTGCATTATACATAGTATAATTTATTTTGCTATCAAAGAAAATAAGTTACAATTCCTTGCATTGCCTTGGAAATAATAGAAATTTAAAATTGTAAATGAACTTAGGTTACACTTTCAAAATAAATCATCTAATTATTTTGCTCATTTAAGTATTAAATTGAAATAAACAGCAGGGCCATATTGCATCAATCACTTTTATTTTGTCTTTTATTTTTTAACATTTTAAAAAAAGGATTCTTTTTTTATTATACTTTACTTCAATATTTTATTTGATTTTTGGTGTACCAGATGCTTTGCCAATTTTTTCATTATTTGAATAAAAATGAAAAGTAAAAATTGGATTGTTGCAATAGGACCCGGCCCAATAAAACTGAACAAAATTAAAATATTAATTAATTTTTTTTTAAATTTAATAAAATTATTCCATTGTATTGGAATTTTTTATTTTCTTAATAATTACTTGAAAAAATTGATCTTAAACAATTAATTAATTAAATTTTCAAATTGATAATTAAGCACTAACCTTCATTTTTGATTAATTAATTTTTTTTTATATATATTTTAATTTCTTTTTAAAAGAAAATTTATAATTATTATATTTTGATTTGCTTATTAAATTTTATTTTTTTATTTTATAAATTGTGCACTTGTGACACTTTTTCACTTCACTTTTTTAATATTTTTTAATTAAATTGAATTTTTTCAATATTCTTTTTATTTTCGTATTTTTTTTTATATATTTGTTATTAAAGGACTTTAATTCTTTTTCTATATAAATTCTATATAATTTAATAGAAAACCGTATGCACAATATTTGAATTTGTACTGATGAATTTTTGAATTGGTAAAACGCTTTATATACCAAAAAAAAATATGTTTACTTTGTTTTTTTTTTTTTTTGCTTCTATACTATAGAGTCACAGATTTTCTTTCTGAAATTTGTGTGATTTTCTTTATATATACACGCTGATATAATACTACTGTATATGTATGTAAAGTTAAATATATTTATGAATATTGAATATTTATGTATGTGAGTATATAGAGACATATAGTAATAAAGTTTCAATTTTGGCAGACATAATAGAAAAAATAGAGGTGTTCCAATAAAACTCTTAAAGTTTTTTTTTTTTTAGTTACCATTCATTGCGAGTTTTTAGCTTTTTCTTTTCATAATAACAATTTATTTTTTCTGTTTTTTTTTTCTGTAATTAATACAAAATATACTTCTAAAGTTACAAATCTCTATATATACATATATACAAAATGAGAAGAATTTTTGGTTTTTCTTTAAGCAACATTTTGTTTTTTTCTTCTACTTTTTTCGTTTTTCCTTTAGTCCTATATAAGATGCAGCAATAATAATGCACAATTTTGTATATGAAACTGCATTTGATATTTGATTTTTGTGATTGTGTATGTGAATGCACATAAGCATCATGTTTACTTCTTTTAATATAAAGAAAAAAAAAACTTCTCATTTCAAAAAGCTTTTCTTTAGAGAGACATACATACTATAACAACAACAAAAAAGGAAAAATATTCCACCAAAAAAAAAAAGTTTTTATTAAAAATTTTAAAATATTCACATAGTATTCAATTTAATATTAAACGAACATGTTTGTAAATAAGTTTGTTAAATTCATACATACACACATACGATATACTTAAAATATAAATTTGAAAAGTACATACGTAAATGTGTGTATTTCAAATAAAAATAAATAAAAGAAAAAATTTAAAAATGAAAAAAATTAAAATTTAAAATTAAAATTTTGAATTTTTTTTTTGCAATTTTTTAAATCAGTCAAACCATTTCGCTCAATTAATATTCCAAAAAATTACATATAGAAATACTTGTAGCTCTATACTAGAGCTCCCCACTTGCATATAATATACACACAAATATGTATGTATATGCTTTTTGTATATTTTAACCAGGAGCGGATCTAATATTTATAAGCATATATAACAAAATGGGCACTTGCAATGAACGCAATTTTATGTGCATGTTTAGATATGCATAAATTCGCAAAAAGATTATAGTACTCTTCTGAGTTGTCAACAATTTGACGTTTGCTAAAAATAATTTTTTACAATTATTTTGAAGTGTTAATCGTGATTTTATATTCGGTTGCAAACGCAAAATAAATAAATGCAACAGTGCAATTATTATTTTTTTACGTTACCATATAAGTTCTTACGTTGCCATAGTTTTTGTAATTTACAAAATGTCCAACACAGAAACAAGATATTCAATTAAAAATGTATTAATAAAGGAAAGTTTTAATTGAAATGTATTGTAAATATATTTATAATTTCAATGTCAAAAATGAAATTTCTTCAACTCTTTATTAATAATAGCATATTTTAAGGGTTTATGCACCTTTTTAGCGATCGCATTGTATACAATGTGGTAGCTTATTTGATGGCACCAAATTTCGGATGTCGTATTTTCGGTGGGAACGCGTTTTCCATAGTAGGGAAGCGTAAATAAATTACTTTTAGAGAGATGTCGGTCTGCCAGTTAGTGTGTGCAAGCATGTATCGCAACTTCAGCTGAATTGATTTTCATGAAATTTTATATGCGAGTTTATGTTAGCTATGGCATGGATTCATCAACTTTTGGGATATATTAGACCTCTAGAATAATGGATCTTTTTGCAGGCCAATTTTACATTTTTGCGTATATAAAGAGTAATTGCGTAAATAATCAACTAATATCTTTGAAATTTAATATTTATATTCGAGACATTAAAACAAAAAATCTGCAAATTTTTTTGAAAGATCCGGGCTTGGAAACCAAATTGAGGGCCAATTTTACATTTTTTACCCCATCTACGGATGGAATTAATGAAACTTTTTGAAATTTGATATTTGAGTTCTGGTTGTTACCGAAACTAATTAGTGAATTTTTCAGTGGATCCTTTTTGGTACAAAGCAAAACTCACTAAGAGCCAAATTTACATTTTTCTAGTTATGGTAGCTAAAAGCTTGCTAAATTCCTTAAAATGGAAAGGAAGTATTCAAAAGGCATTGTCATAATCATCTGTAAGATTTTTACTAAACTAGGCAATACACAGTGCGGTTGGCTATTTGCTGACCACATCAGATTTTTTTTTTAATATGACAGCGTTTCTTCTATATATTATGTATATATATTTTCATTTTACTTTTCATAATAATCAATGACAAGTGCAAATAATTGTAAGAAGAAAAATTTTATTCATTTTTGTTCATCTACCCTGATGATATACGGCTTCTTATCTGTTGCAAACCCACCCTGCATAATATAAGACCACAACTATACAAACAATATGTATATGTATAGATAATATTATAGAAACAATTCAATTGATTGTTTACTTAGAAGCAAGTTAGTATGAGTACATTTATGTTTTTAAACTGCTTTTTTAGCTAGATAACTTAACAGTGTTTAGCATGAGAATATTTTATGTGTTTTTTTTTTTTTGGTTTTTCTTCTCGTAAATAGTAAAGTAAAGTGTACATGTTATATACTTATATAAATATATGCATAATTATGATTTTTATCTGAGAAAAAATGAAAATATTGGTACCGTATAGAAAATGAAAACTGAAAAAAATTTTAATGTTATCAATTATCACCACCATACCGAAAAGATACAAGTAAAATAAAGTTATTCATTTTATTAAAAATCATCATACTGTTAGAACACACAATTTTTTTTTTTAATAATAATTATTTACATGTAGAGTGTAATTAAAATAAAATGTTATGTGGAAACAATTTAAAAAATTTAAATATTGTAATTAAAAAATTTTTGTAAATTTAATATAAAAAATTAATATTGAATAATAATTAAATTAAAAAATTTTTAAAACTCGTGAATTCATTGTTAAAATTTGGAAATAGACCTTAAAATTTTAAGACTAAAGATCACATTGATTGAATATTTCAAGAAAAAAATTATAAAAATTTTAAATCGAATTCTTTAGATGTAATCGATAATGTAAAATGTGTGTTCCTTAATCGAAATCTTAATGCAATTAACAAAAGCATTGTAACTTTTAATATGTCAACAAGTTTTTACTCTTTTAATTTTTCTGATAATGCAAAAAACAAATGTCATGTAATTGATAATAATGCCAATTGCCAACCATATTGTTAAAAATTTTACTGGAATTTTAGCAATAAAAAAATTTCAAATCTGCTAATCTGCTAAAAACAAAAGGATATTTGAAGAGGATGAAATAATTTTTTTTGATGAAAATTAGTTCTAGAACTAATCAAATCAAAAATAATATTGTTGCTAAAGCAGTTGTTCACTGATTAAATGCAAAAGTTATATACGAAAGTTGATATACAAAAGTTTTTTTAGCATAAATTGTTGGTTGACAATTGGAGATCATCAGATTCACAATCTATTTACTATATTTCATTCAAAAGAAAAAACTTTTTATAATTAATTTGATGTCCGTTTTTTCTGTATTGTGTTTTTCTGCCTTAAGCTAAAATTCAAAATCAGTTTTAGATTAGTTTGTTGAAAGTATGACCTTAGTCAATTTCAATATTCTTTTATTTCCAAAGCAGTTATAATATCAATTATTATAAGTGAAATTTAAATTGTTTAAGAGGAAAATTAATATTCTATAAGTAAATAACCACAGTCAATCGAATTTTTCGAATCGGGTTGCCTTAAACCGAAACAGAGAAATATTTAATTGTTCATTGAAATGGACTTAGTTCACTTGTGAAATAAACCATCCATTTTAAATTTTTACAAAATATTTTTAGTTTTATTTTAATAGGGTAAAAAATATTTTATTTTTTGTTTTGCAAATCTGAAATTTTGAAAATAATATTTACAAAATTACACGCTTGTTAAATTGATTGAATTCCATAGATAAAATAAAACATTTTTTCCGATTAGAATTTTTTGACTGTAGAATTCTATTAATTGTAGAAATTTAAAATTTTTGAAATTTCGATGTTAATCATTTCTGTTCGGTTGTTTTAATTTTAAAAAAATTAATTAAAGAAAAAGAAACGTAGGTACAGCAAATTGCTAAAAGTGGTAATTTTGAATTTTTTAAGTAGATGATTGAGAGTAAAGAATTTATTTTAAATATTTATTATATAAGGGAATTATTGAAACAATTTTAATTAAAATTAAGTTGAATGCAAACACTCAAAGAAATAATTTATTGCAAGCAAGAAGCGTTCAGAAATTCTTATGAAATACAAGTACTCTCTGATCCTTTGATTTATTAAAAATACTCTCTAATCTCTAAACTTTACTAGAGTAATGTTGTTTTTCTTTCTCTTTCAAAAGTTAACTGGAAATTTAACTTTATTTTTAATTACAATAAATGTTATTTAATTAAAATTGTTTTTTTTTAATTACATTGGGGTGATTGTAAGCAATGGATTTACTACAATATAACTAATCTTTAACATGTAATTAATTTATTGAAATACTTTCATTCATACTTAAAAATAATTTAAATGATCGCATACATTTAGGAGGGGACAAGAAAAAAAATTGAACGAAATAATGCCCGAATTCAAGGGTTAATTGTGTGAGTTAAGGAAAATAATTGTATTTCTTGATAGTATCTTTACTTTTCTGCATCTATAGAAATTTGGAAGAGCTTGCAGTTTC